ATCGCAGCAGAGAGACAAGGCGGAAACAGACCGGGGGCGACACCGCTCGAATGACGCGCCGAAGCCAGATTGCGCACAAGCCGCGCGCCGAATGCCCAATGTCGGAGCGGGTCGGCGACGCAAGAAATTCAGAACGATGGTAAACAAAAACATTTAAAATCTATTAATTTTGGCTTCGGAAACAAACACACACACACAGGCACACACACACACACACACGCACACGCACACGCACACACACACAAAATAGTTGCGCCAATCCGCTTGGGGAGCGCAGCTTCATGATACCTGTGCCGCGACGGCGATGCGGATAAGCTCCGGAGCCAACAGAAGCCCTGCCAATTTGCATGTGCGCAGGTTGTCGGGTGCTCGATTTCCCCCGCGCGCTTCGTTCCCCAACGCTGGTCGACAGGATCGGCGCTAAGTGGCAGGCCTCCGTGGACCACGCGACGAAAGGATAGGTCTGTTCAGGGGCCCACCGGAGCTTTCCACGCCGCGCGTCTGTTTCGGGGTGGCAATGCCCGTCTGTAGGTAAGTTGGTTGAGCCTCAGGGGGGTGAGTGAAGCCTCTTGGACAGTGGAACGGCCCCGCCCTCCTGTCTCCTGGATGCCCTCGGAGCCTCGATCAAAGCCTCCGTGTTTCGCATTCCTTGCGCGAAGATGCACGCCTCGAGTCCGGCTGCAAGGTTGGAGAAAGACAACCGCCATGCCACTGCGGGGATGATTCGTCTGATCGCGCGCGATGGTCTCTGGGCCGAGAACAGGAGGTTCGAGGCGGGCTGCCGCGCCGACAGACTGCGCCAGCGATGCAACGCTGAGCCTGGGAGCCTGGCAAACGCAGGTTCTGGAAGCGCCATTGCAATTCGTACTCGGGCGCCTGGGCCCAGCAGGTTGGCGCTCCAACGGTCCCCCAGAAGTCGTTGCCACCGACCATTTGACTCCAGAGGCTCTCCGCGAATTGGATATGTTCCCTTGCTGCTGGCGCCGCGGGCGGGCGCCCGTCCGCCGGCACGACCCCCCCCCCCCCCCCTGCCAGCCGCGCTTGCGTCTGGGTCCGCCGTGGGGCGAGAGCCCTGCCTGTGGGGGCCCATGGGGTCGACGGCCCTGGGGGGCGCTGGGGCAAGAACCCGCTCCTGCGTAGGGTGTCTTGGGCCTTCTGCCGCCTGGTCCCGGAGGATCTGGAGGATCTGGATTGGGGCTCGGGGCGCACGGGGTCGGTCGACACCCCTCAACGAGTGGCGCCGAGGGCGAAGCTGCTGGCGACTGAGCAATGCAGTGTGTTAGGGCTGTCGACCCAGCTGGCGATCTCAAGTTTTGGCGCGACCACGCAAACCACGCTCGCCCCTTGGTCGAAGGAGGGCTTCATTGCTTCAAGCTAGAGCATGCGGACTCGTGGCAAGAACTGTTTGCCCTGCTGCGCGACAGGCCAGCACTTGGCCGATGATGATCGAGGGCTTGCTCGGCGCGCGGCTTCTGCGCCCCGGGGGGCCTTGTTCGTCAATGCTCTCGCAGATGCCCTGGCGGACAGTCGTGCTGAGGAATGCGCAATATCCCGGGGCGCACGTCAGCGCGTCTTCGAGCTGGCTTCCAAGGCCTTTTTTTCTGCGCTCCTTCGGAACGCCGCCCTTGTCCAGGCGACAGCCTCCACCCCCGGGAACCGCGATCGCGAGGCGGAGGTAATCTCTGCCCCGCCTTCGACAAAAAAGGCGGCCAGGAGGGCCCGGGCCGCAGCGAGCTCGGCCGGGCGTTTTGTCCCGCTCGCGAGAGGCTGAAAGCGCAGAAAGCGTCGCCTTGTTGCGTCCGCAAGGCCGCCTCCAGAGCCCCGTGCCGCCTCGGGTCGGCCCGCCGCCCCGCCGACCCCCCCCCCCTCCCGAGCTTTCAACTGCCCGGAAAGCCCCCCGCTGAAGCAACGGGCGCAGGTCCCGCCCGCGGGAGGGACAGACGGACGGGGGAGGCGGTCTTGTCGGGCGCGCGTCAGCGACTGCCGCCCCTTGATGAGCATGCGTTCGGCGCCATCGGCATTGGCGACCCCTCGTGCAGTTTGCCCCGTGGTCGGACGCGCCGCGGCAGGGCGCCTCGCCCGCCCAATGTGCTGTGGACCAGGGGCGCGTGCTGCATTTGTTCCGCGCGCGGCAGATACTCGTCCTCCACCATGCTTGGGGACCTTGGCTCAGACTGCGAGAGCGCGCTAGTTGGAGACCAGTCCTTGGCCAAGGCGCACGATGCATCTCTCATGGGGCAGGGGGCGGGGCTTCCTCCCCAGTGCGGCGTCAGCAATCGGGGTCACTGCGTTGTGGACGAGAGCTTTCGCCCCAGGGGGCGGGAGGATTTCTGCGTCTCTGCCTATCTTAACCAGCTGTGTCAAGCTGGTTAAGATAGGCAGTCCCCGACGGTCCCCGAGACAAGCCCGCAGCGCTCTCAAAGAGGCCCCCGGAAGACCTCCCAAGAAGCCCCCGCAGGCCTCCAGTGGGAATGCTCGAACGCCGCTAGAGAGCAAGTACGCAATCTTCCGGAAGGCCCTGGGAAACTGCCAATCGCGCCGCCCGTCGCAAAGCAAACGGGACACATCAATGTCATGTTCCTCTCTTGCGGGCCAAAAGGAAAGATAACAGGGGGGAGGGAGTGAGACAGGCAGACTGGGGGGCGAGGAACGCACCCAATGCTGGAAATGCTGGACGCATCCATCAATCCATTGTTGATGGGGCTGTCCTCGCGCCGTGCATGGGCGATAGCCTTGGTTGATCGCCCCAAGGCTCCAGACTGGCGAGCATGCACTCACGGCCTCAACTGCTCATTGCGCTTCCGATGGCAAAGCTGCATTTGGCCCTTTACGCGGCTTCGAATGTCTTCCCGGAACATGCCGTCTAGCCGCGCACTGCCAACCATGCCCCGCGCCGTTCCCCTTGAGGAGCGTCAAGTTTTCCAGGTGGTTTGACATCAACGGTGTCGTTGTCAAGCTGAAAGAAAAACGATCGGCCTTCCACGGCGTCAGTTACTTTGCGCCGCAGGCGTCTCCAGAGACGACTGCGAGGAATGGCGGCTCATCCACGCAAGCGAAATCCTTCGCGACAATTTGGAGGGGCCTATCTGCCTCAATCGACAACATCAATCTACCCAAATACGTTTGGCAAACGAATTTGTGCGCAACCTCAACCATTGATCCAGCTACATCAACCACGAGCGGGATGCCGCGATCCGAAATGTCAAAATCCGTGGACCATATGGTTCTTGCCGGGCATGGATACGCAGCCCCACTTCGGGGAACTCGTTTGTCACGAAGTTGCCACTCCCTGGTGTAGAGTTTCGCCTAACTGACACAACGAGTCCTTGTGGTTTCTGACAACGACTTCCCGACGACCACCTGCATACCTCGAACCTGTCAGACGCGCGAGCTCTGGGTCCAGGAGCACGCCTGTTAAGAAACAGTCGGCGCACAAAACAGAAACACACAACCCCCTCAGGAGATACTGCCAAGCACTCCTCACCCACCAGTAGAGGACCCCCGCCTCTGCAGCCGTCGGCGCGCAGCTCAGCGCCAGGAGGTCGATGTCCGCGGCGCCGAATCGTGGCCCAGGAGTTCGGGTAGGCGCTGGCTAAGGTTAAGTTGGGCCTGTCCTCTTACAGGGGGGTGTTCGACGAAAAGTTTAAAATACTGTAGTCAAAAATACCCCCAAATGGTCATATATATATATATATACAAAAACGTCAAATGAGTATTTTCCAATTTTTGAATATCCCCCCTGTAGAGGGACAGGCCCGACTTAAAGCTAAGGGTACGGGCCATCCTGCCCCGCCTGGGCGGGAAATGCCCACCCCCGCATGCCGCCGAGGGCGGGGGCGCCTCGGCGGGACCCCGGTTCCGACTCGGCGGACGTGGACGGACCATGGGCGCAGACACCTCCTCCTCCTCCTCCTCCTCCTCCTCCTCCTCCTCCTCCTCCTCCTACGCCTCCTCCCTCTCCCTCTCCTCCTCGTCCTCCTTCGCCTCCCTCCTCCTTCTCCTCCTCCGCCTCCTCCCTCTCCCTCTCCTCCTCCTCCCCTCCCTCCTCCTCCTCCTCCGCCTCCCTCTCCTCCTCCTCCTCCTCCTCCTCCTCCTCCTCCTCCTCCTCCTCCTCCTCCTCCTCCTCCTCCTCCTCCTCCTCCCCTCCTCCTCCTCCTCTCCTCCTCCTCCTCCTCCTCCTCCTCCTCCTCCCTCCTCCTCCGCCTCCTCCCTGTCCCTCCTCTCCTCAACCTCCTCCTCCTCCCCCTCCTGACCCTCCTCCTCTCCCCCCTCCTGTCCCTCCTCCGAGAGTGCTGCTCACCGTGCCGATCTGCCCGCCGCTCCTCTACCCTCGCGGCGCGGCGGGGGCCGGGAGCGTCGGCGCCTCGCTCCCGGAGCGCCTGCAGCTCCGCGTGCAGCCTGTCCACCTCCCGGCTGGCCCGGTCCGCGGCGCCCCGCTCCGTGGCGCACACGTCGCCGCCTCTGGCGTGGGGGGGGGGGACTGCCTACCAGACCACCCCAACCCGACCCGAAGACCCCAATCTCGGGTTGGGGGGAGTACGGGTTCCATACGTGTTTTTTGGTCAGTGTTCCCCGACCCCCCCCCCCACTGGAAACGGAGGGCAGATTGAGGCCTTCGGGTTGGGTTGGGGTGGCTTGGTGGGTGGTGAGAGGGGGGTGGGCGACGACGCAGCCGCTTTCTCTCCCTCCGCTTCCGTCTTCGTCTCATCCTCCGCCGCCTCCCGAGCCCCGCTCTGCCAGCGTCCTCCAGCGCCCTCGCCACCTCTCCTGCCACATGTTCCCCCCTCGCTCGTCCCTTCCGTAAACTGCACCTCCCACTCCGCCAAGGTCCTCATCCTCCTCCTCCTCCTCCTCCACCACCTCCTCCTCCTCTTGCCCCTCCTCCGAAAGACCCGAGGGCATCAATTTCGGGACCTGTCTGTTGAAGCAAATCACGGCTTGACGACTGCCCCTCCTTGTTCCAGTGTTTGCTCCCACACTTCCCCGATCAATGCAACCCGCCGAAGCATCGTTCCTGGATGGGCTGGTGGGACTGCGGGACACGTAAACAAACTATTACGGTTCTCCTTCTGCTCCTCCTCCTCCTGCCCCGCCTCGTCCGGCGGGACAAGGGCAATGTGTGGAGTCAGGGGGCCTACGGCAACGTACCATGCTGAGAACACGAAGCCGTACAGCATGAAGAAGAATATGACGGACGCGCCGGCTCGAACGAAGGTCATGCCTGCCAGCGGGGGGCCAGATGAGGGGGGGCAGGCGAGGATGATGGTTGCTGCAACCTTAACGATTACTGCACCAATTATACAGATGTATATATTTATGAACCAATACATCATACAAGTAAGTATACACAATAGTATACATATATGTGCTGATACATCGGTTGTATGTATATTTATAGTTGTCTGTATACGAAACCTACACATATAAATGTATACACACATGAAAGTGTACACACACACACGTATAGAAAATCGAAGGCTTGGCGGCAAAGGCAGGGGCACTGCCCGCACGGCGAGGACAGCTGCCGCCCAAAGCTCAGCGAGCGAAGAACGGAATAACATGAACTTTTTCGCCGTCGAGGACACCTGCCCCTGGGCGGCTGGAAAGTTTATACCCCTACGGTGCCATCGTAATGGTATAAACTTTCCAGCCGCCCTGGGGCAGGTGTCCCCGACGGCGAAAAAGTCGATTGTATAGCATTCTTCGCCCGTTAAAAAGCGACTCCAGCACCCCCCCCCCGCGTCCTTGAGAAGACCTGGGAACTCGCGGTTAGCCTTAAGTCGGGCCCGTCCCTCTACAGGAGAAAAACTCCAAAATAGTAGAAATAATAGTCTGGGAACTATTGTTTGGAGCATTCTGGGAGTATGTTTGGGGTCTTGTAACTTTGTCTGCCAAAATCCCCCTGTAGGGGGACATGCCCGACATAAGGTTGTAAGGTGAGCCTCTCTTGGGGCTCTCTGGGGGGGGGCCTCTCGGGCCGTCCTCGAAGGCATCGGGGCGGGCCCGGGAGGCCAAACTCACTGAAGCACGAACCTGCTGCTTGGTTAGTCTGCGTTCTCAGCTATCTCGTGCTCCGAGCGCCCACGGCGGCCTCCGCGAGTGCCAAGGTGGCCTCCGAGATGGCCGAGGTGCCTCCAAGATGGCGGCAAGTTTGCCCCCGACGGCCCAGGAGGCCAGCAAGACGGCCGAAGAGGGCTCCCAGAGGAACCTCCAGGAGGGCATGAAGAGGCACGAATGGTTCACAGTGGAGGCCCGTCTACAAGAAACCATCCAAAGAGGCCCAACCCTGAGACCCCAGGATGCCCATAGATTCTTGGTGTGGGAACGCCACGCTTTCCATCGCAAAACCATCTAAACCCAAGAAACCCAGGGCACCCTGGAGGCGAGCAGGGCGTTTCTTGGCATGGACCCCCACTGTATGACCATAGCCGAACACAGCCCCATATGCCTCCAACAGTAGCCCCAAGACGGCCGAAGAACCCCCCAAAGAGGGCCTCAAGGCGGGCCAACAAGCCCAACAGAAGGCCGAAGAGGGTCCCTTGACGGCCCACATCAGACAGCAGCAAACTGGCTAAGAGTCCAAGACGGCCGAAGAGGCCCCTCGAGGCCCCCAAGTTGCCCCCGGAGGCCCCCACGAGGCCCCTCAGGGGCCCCCGAGATGCCCCAGGAGGCCCTCAGGAGGCCCAAGGGAGCGTCGAGAGGCCTCAACACGCCTCAACCTCATCCACGTCCTCAGTATCCAGCCTCTTCAGCTCCTCATCCATCTCCTCTCCTTTTTTGTGCTCGGCCTCTCTCTCTCTCTCTCTCTGTATCTCGTTCTCTCTCTCTCTCTCTCGGTCTCTCTCTCTCTCTCTCTGTCTTTCCCCCTCTCTCCCTCTCTCTGTGTCTGTCTTCACTCAGTCAGATCTCTTTCTCTCTCTCTCTCTCTCGGTCTCTCTTTCCCTCCCTCCATTTCAATATATCTGTCTGTCTGTACGCGCATGAATCTTACTCCTCAACTTGTTCCACACGGGTGTCCGCAAAGGCCAGGGGGCACGCTGTCCAGTAGTTTGACCAGAATGCGGCCCAACGTTTTGCCCCATAGGCGCTTCAAACTGGCAAGGGGACGGTTGATTGTCGTAGGCGCCTTCGAACAATGTGATTGTGTGGTTGGATGTGCATGTGCGTGTGCAGGTGTAGGAAGAACAGCGTGTATCGCTATATGGATATACGTCTGCATATAGACAATCGTATGCATACTTGTAGTATTATTATGCATCCTGTCACATCTTATGATGCTGCACTCCTCCTCTGGGTCAGCTGGATGCCCACATCTTCCTATGTTGGATGTTGTCCCGAAGCTCGTTCGGACTCGAAGCCTTCTGCCCCGCCTTCCTACCCCATCCTCCGATGAAGATCATCCCCCCTCCACATCCCCCTGCCACTGCCTCAACTATCCCCCCTCTGCCATCCCCCTTCCTTCCCCACATCCCCCCTCACTCCCCCTCAGCCGACTTCCCCTTGTGAGGGTCCACAGATCTCCACATTCGTCCCTCCGCGCTCCCTCTTTCTGCCCGGCCTTGCCCCCCTCTCCCCTTCCCCGTTGCTCTCTCATCCTCCCTCGCTCCCTTCCTCCAGTCCCCATCCCTGGAATCGTCCCCTGGACCGCTCCTCGGGCATGTGTTGGTCTGGCCGCAGCTGTTGCGACATGCCTCCTGGAGGCCCAAAACCATAGAGCAAACGACCTAACACGCCGTCCTCCCGTTTTGCTGTTCGTGCCACCGGCCACCGTCCCCCCGTTCTCTGCTCGTGCTCCTCCTCCCTCGCCCCTCCTCCTGCGCATCCTGCCTCCTGCCTCCCTGCTTCCTCCTTGGCCTTCCCTCCTTCGTTCCTCCCCCATGGTGCTCCCCCCCCTCCCCCCTCCTACTCCTAACACGTCCATCCCCCTCCTCCTGCACCCCTCCTCCTGTTCTCTGCTCGTGCCGCCAGGCACCTCGACAAGGCGGCCCCAACTCTGACGGCTTCAAATTGTGGTTCTCGCCTCAGCCGAAGGTCGGACATGTCCTCCTACAGGCTGGTGTTGGAAGAAACACAATGGAACAGTATTCAAAGATAGTTGAAAGAGCACGAGAAATCGTCACCAAGTTATGTTGTACTATTCTTGAACACTCCGCCTGTAGAGGGACATGTCCGACTTAACTGTAACCCCACGCATCTTCGGCATAAACATATCCACAGCTTCAAAGCTACATGGCGGCTCGTTTCAAACCTCCTACACCTTCTCCCTACCTCTCTCCCTCCCTCCCTCCCCCCGCCAAGGGGGAACTGGCAGTGCACGGTCTCCTGATTGGACTACTGCACTGATCACTGCAACTGCACCTCTCTGCAACTGACCTGCACCAGTGCAGGCACGAGAATGCTGACACTTGATGTCACACCTGCCGCACCCCACTGCAAAGTGCGCGTCTGCAGCATGTGATTGGGTACGGAAAAATGGGCCCGATGCCCCAACAACAAATTCTGTTCAAAACCGGCAGCGGCCGCTGTTGGGCAGGCGGCTTTCTGTCTCGAGTGGACAAAATCTGCGGCCAAGCCAACAGCGAACCGGGATCAAAATGAACAAGCACTGCTGCCAGTCTTCGTACCCATTCTTTCCGTACCATCGTTGACCTTACCGATACCGCTACTCCGCAGACCTCTCCCAGGGTGCGTCCTGACCAGATTTTTTCGGCGAGTCCAGCGGTGGCGAAGATGGCCGCCATTACCTGAGGCCCAAAAAAGAAAACCAGGCCAGGCTAGCAGTACCCAACGGTCGGATGAAGTAGGTAGAACCATGAAGAAATTAGGAAGGCGTTGGAAGCAGATTTGGACTCCGCCCGGACCCCTGAAGAGGAGGGAAGATAGAGGCCCTCCGACTGGAGTCCGAGCAGATGGGGTGGGAGGATCCCGCCGCATCGCCCATGCATCGCCGATGCATCGCCGATGCATCGGCGATGCACCAGCGCCGCCGGCGATGCCTTGGCGACGTCGGCGTGGACGAAATCGGGCTCCGCATCGATCCGCATCGCCGATGCATCGGCGATGCGGCGCGATCCTCCGACCCCATCTGCTCGGACCCAATCTGGGAGGCCTAGAGTAACCAGCCTCGAACGTATCCCTATCCCTAAGATGGGCGAGCAAAAAGCGAGGACAATCTTAGGGATAGGCCCTCAGAAACTAAGGGAATCCTTAAGATCATCATCGAGGTGAGGTGATGTCAAACATAGGGATAGGAATATCTTTCAAACTGGTAATAGAGAAGAGGGACACCCACTCGACTCTTGAAGTAGGAAGGCGCTTAGAATAGATGGGGATCTGGGCAACCAAGCCCGGCCAGCGACAACGGGCGTGCCCGCCCCCTCCCCCGTCGAAGGCCCCGGACCCGAAACCCGAGCGAAGGCGCCGCTTCTGTGAAAACATTGCAACGCATAGTCGTCGTCGCCACCGTCGTCGTCGTCGCCGTCGTCGCCGTCGCCGTCGTCGCCGTCGCCGTCGTCGTCGCCCTCGCCGTCGTCGTCGCCGTCGTCGTCGTCGTCGTCCGTCGGCGTCGCCGTCGTCGTCGTCGTCGTCGTCGTCGTCGTTTGTCGTCGTCGTCGTCGTCGCCAGCCGGCGCCGCCAGCCGGCGGGGCGCCAGTCGGCGCCGCCTGGCGGCAGCAGCGCCCGCTCCAGGCAGAGGCGCGCGTCGGGCTGCTCGCCCTCCTCGCGCCGGGCCCCGGCGTCGGGCTGCGGCTCCCCGTGCAGCTCGCCGCCATCCTCTGGCGGCGGCAGCGGCGGCGGGAGCGGCGACGACGACGACGACGACGACGACGACCACGGCGACGACGACGACGACGACGACGGACCGACGACGACGACGACGGACCGACGACGACGACGGACCGACGACGACGACGACGACGGACCGACGACGACGACGACGACGACGGACCGACGACGACGACGACGACGACGGACCGACGACGACGACGACGACGATGGACGATGGACGACGACGACGACGACGACGACGACGACGGACCGACGACGACGACGACGACGACGACGACGACGGACGGCGACGACGTCACACAGCGCGTAGGCAGAATCAGCCAACATCGAATCGGTAAATCTGGTAGAATCGGAATGTGCGCCGGATCGGAGTACATTGGCACTGGGTCGAAGTCGAACCGGATCTGCTGCGGCAGGCGATACACAACAACGCCGTGCGAGCATCGGGCCGCATCGGATCGAATCGGAAGGGCTCGGAGGCTGACGAGGAGGCTCCTCAGAGGCCGGGGTACCTGCCAGGACGCTCAACTGAGGCACCCGAAGCTACCTGCCAGGACGCTTCCCTGGGGCGCTCGAAGCTACCTGCCAGCGCTCCTTCCTGGGCAGGCCGAAGGTGCCTGTCAGGACGCTTCCCTAGATCAGAAAAGACAAAAGTACCACTACCACAAGGTATGGGGGTGGCCGCTCCCTCCCCTCGAGCTGGTGACGCCTCCTTCCGGGAACTCTCTGGAGGCATGCCCGGAACGAGGTGCCACCAGCTGGAGAGGGTGGAACAGCCACCCCCTAGCTGGTGGTAGTGGCACTTCCGTCTCTGCCCATGAGGGGGGGTGCCTCCGAAAAGCCTGCACTCTTGGAAACCCTCGCCTTTCGCGCGCGGCCCTCGCGTGCGACACGCGGCCGTCCTGGTGGATGCGGCAGCGACATCGACGTCGCCGATAGTCGTCATGTAGCTCTTTTGGGGCGTCTGTGGGTGCTGCCGCCGCCACATTCGGGTCGGGCCCCCTCTTCTTCGCACAAGCGCACGAAGCTGATGTTGAAAAACTGGTGTTCCACGCCTCTCCCTTCTCCTTGCCAGGGCCTCTGGAGACCTCTGGAGGCCCAACACACTCCCACCAGCATTACCAAATGCAAATCGTAAATTCTCTTCCTCCTATATACCCTTCGTTCAGCTGGAACCTGGAACCTGGTGGCGTGAGAAGTCGTCGACTGCCAGCCCACCCGGGGGCCGGTGGGCCCTGGGGGTTGATCAAACTAGACAGGCAGGTGGCCTTTGCCACCGGCTGTAAGGAGATAGTTTTGAAAAAGTAGACAGACACAACGTGGAGGGAGGAAGAACAACGAGAGATATCGAAGTGGAAGGAAGAGGGAGATAACGGTCGTATCGGCAGCGGTTGCTGTGGCGATAGTGGCTCTCATCCACCTCCCAGCCAGGAGAGCACACTACCAAATTCACCCCGACTATATGGATCGACCCAACCGCCTCTCCTCCAAGGGACGGGCTGGCGATGACGACGCGGCAGCGGCGGCAGCGCTGCTTCCGCTGCGGCTACTGTTGCTGCTGCCACCTGCTCCCAGGGGTCGGGGCGTGTAAAGGAGAGTGTTCGTCTGGGGCTCCCGCCTTAGTTCTGCGCACATTCGTCTTCAAAGGATGCAGCAGCTACAACGATGGGGCAGATGTCGATGTCGAGCTGTTTAACTGCTTAAACAGAACCTTCATAGTCAAACTCTATCTTTGTTTAGCTGTTTAAACAGATGTCGAGCTCTCGCTTCAGATTTCAAGCTGTTTAAACAGACCCTTCAACACAGGTAGCAGCTGCGCAACTTGAGGGTGGTGCGCTTACAGAGTGGGGCTCTCGCTCGAGACTTCCCCGATGTGCATGGCCAAGTGCGGATGGGGGCGGCCCTCGTTTAACATCAGCAGCGAGCAAACCACACGACACACACTTTTCCCCTGTCTTCCATAGCGCGGCGCACCCCCTCAAGGCCCTCTAGTGCTGACGGGAGTGGAGGTCGCCAAATATGTGGGGGAAGTGGATACCGCTCGATCAATGGCCCAGAGAGTGTCCCTGGCCCGAGGTGCCCCTGGGATTCTCGGTGTGGCCCATGCGACCTCCAGAGCACCCCTCACGAGGCCCTGAGGGCCCCATCGGGCTCCAAAGTTAAACGACAAGCTAGGGGCACCTTGGGCAAGCGGCACCTCTGTAGGGGGACAAGCAGTGGCATAACCATAAAAGCTCGGAGGTCCGCGCGGATTTCTTGGATCGGCATTAGGGGCCCCCAACACCGATCCAAGAAATCCGCGCGGACCTCCGAGTTGTGCTGTTTACGTAACCTTGTGGATTCCATGACAATGGACACCCTGACAATCCGATCATAGAATTAAGCATGTGCTTACAGTGTCGGAAGCATGTTCTAAGCATGCTTTAGACATGTGGTTTTACGTGTTTAAAGCATGCTTCTCTACATGTTTTAGACATCTGGATTTGTTTGGCAACATGCTTCCTCTCCATTGATCGTCCTCCACAGATGTAACACCCCCGGAGCAAAAAGGCCCCAGGAAGAGTGCTGCTTGAGCAGGGACCAGCCGTCCCGGCATTCCTAGAGCCCTACCACGAAATGTTCTTAGAACCCCGAAATGTACTAAGAACAAAAACAGTGTTCTTAGAACATACACCCGATCTGCGAAAACAAGACGATATCAACCAGAAATGTTCTAAGGACAGTTCGCGGAAACCACAACAGGTTCTCAGAACATCGTTCGGTCGGGCTATGGGCGAGCCAGGACGCTTCGCCACTGCTTGAACAACTGTGACACCCCCGGGAGCAAAAGGGCCCCAGGAAGAGTGCCGCAGAGACTGTCGGGGATCCTCTGATCCGCGTCAATCCAGACCCCGGTCAGCAGGAAGACAAAATATGCAATGCAGGGAAAACAAAAACTGCAACGCAGGTCTTCGCAAACCTGGGTCAGCCAATAGGCGCGGCCGCCTCGCGGCCACGAGCGGCTCGCTAACCCGGGTCAGCCAGAGGGGGTCTTCGCAGGATCCTGCAGGATCCGGCGCCCTGGCTGACCCCCGTCTGCACTGACCCCGTCTCGAGGCTCCCGAGGCTGGCAGGCGGAGCCCAAGGCGGCCGCCGCCCTCGCCGCTCCTGCTGTGGTGCGCCCACGGGCCCCCGCGGCGCCCGCCGAGGGGGGCGTGGGCGCCGGAGCGAGGACCGCCGAGGGGAGAGGGGGCCAAGGCATCGACCGTCGGCCCTGATTGGACAGGACACGCGAGGGGCTGGCCATCGCTCGGACGTCCAGTCCCTGTGTTTTTGTCGTTTTCGTGCGTGTTTTTTGTTCGCCAAATGATCCAGGATGCTCCTCGATGGTCCTCGCCGAAGGAAAAGTGCACACGTCTGAGCGATGCCGAGGGGGACACAGGGCCCTTCCGAGGGCCACGTCGCCACAGAACTGCGGGAGGCGTGGGGTCGCAAGACACAGGACACGAGGGTGCCCTCATTTGGCAGGGTCGGCCTACTAATCCAGGCCGCCTGTAGATGGGGTCGGAGTAGGTGGGGTCGGAGGATCGCGCCGCATCGCCTATGCGGCTCGATGTGGAGCCCGATTTGCTTCCCGTAGACGTCGCATATGCATCGCCGACGTCGATGATGCATCGCCAGTGCATCGCCGCTGCATCGCCGATGTATCGGCGATGCGGCGCGATCCTCAGACCCCATCCACTCCGAACCCGTCTAGGAGGCCTCTAAAGAATCACCCCAGACCCCGTAAGGGCCACAGAAACTTGACACCCTCGGAAACCACAGCAGTCACACACACGCACACACACACACACACACACACACACACGCACACACACACACACAACCTGCGCATCCGCCGCCGTGCCCTGAGGCACGAGTCGGAGTCTACGCAGGTCCTCGGCCTGATCCCAGAAGCCTCCGTCCTCAATATTCCTCAGAGGACCCTGGCCCGAAATTGCGCGCATGCTGGGGCGTGTTGTCGCATGACTTATGCGGGCCACAAAGGGCCCCACGACGGGCGAAGAGGGCCGCAAGGTGCCCCGAAGACGATCCAAGAGGGCGTCGAATCGTCGAACGATCGACCCTAGACGCCCAAGATGGCTCCAAGACGGCCCGAGGGGCCGCCGAGATGCCCCGAGAGAGATCCAAAAACACTCCCCACGAGGGCCCCAGGAGGCCAACATTGTCAGTGTTCCGTGTTCCAATAGTGTTTGAAAAATGCTTGTGTTTCCGCCGTTTCGTCTTTCTGGCGCTCTTAGATGGCCCAAGAAGCACTCAAATCCGCCCCAAGACGGCCAATGAGGGCTTCAAGAGGACCCCGAGCTGGCCCCAGAGGGCGCCAAGACGGCCAAAGGGGCGCCTAAGACGGCACAAAATGACGCCCAAGACGGCCCAAGAGAGGCCCAAGAGGGGGAAAACGAACAGAAAATGCGAGCCTTGCTGCCCGAGAGACGACCAAGAGGTCCCAAGAGGCTCCCCAGAGGCCCCAAGAGGACCCCAAGAGGCCCCAGGGGGCACCAAGAGGCCGCCAAGAGGCCCCAAAGAGGCTCCAAGAGGCTCCAGCACAGCCCCCTTGAGGCCGACTGCCTCCAGGAGGCCCCCGAGAGGCCGCAACGAGATCCGACCGAACATCCAGGAGGCCTCAGACCCATAAAACCCAGGCACGGTGGCGGGATTGGCCGCAGGCCACTCGGAGAACCATATTCAAGAAGTCGGTCGGCCAAGTCGACCCTGCCAGATCGCGCCATCGCGAGTCGCTCACAAGCCTGATGGACCTGTTTTCCACCACTACCGCCAGAAGTTGGAGTGCAAGGGGGCCCTCCTCCTCCTCCTCCTCCTCCTCCTCCTCCTCCTCCTTCCTCCTCCTCCTCCTCCTCCTCCTCCCTCCTCCTCCTCCTCCTCCTCCTCCTCTCCCCCCCCCCTCCTCCTCCTCCTCCTCCTCCTCCTCCTCCTCCCCCTCCTCCTCCTCCTCCCCTCCTCCTCTCCTCCCCTCCTCCTCCCCCTCCTCCTCCTCTCCTCCTCCTCCTCCTCCTCCTCCTCCTCGTCCTCCTTCCCCCCTCCAACTTGTGGCGGTGGTGGTGGAAAACAGGCCCAGCACAGCCCAGGCGGGCGCCCCCCCACGAAGGGGGCAGGTGCACCCGCGGACCGGCTCCGCCCGGCGGCGCCCGCGCTCCTGTGTTTCGGACGCCCGAAATGGGCACGGAAAGAATGGGTACTGGGATGACCGTGGGGGTTCCTAAGTGGATAGGGGGTTACAAGTGGATGCCAAGGTGGGTTATATCTGGCCCAACCTGGCTTATAAGTGGGTTACAAGTGCCTTAAGTAGCTTAGGAGGGGTCGATAACTCGGCTAAGTGGGCGGAGCCCACCTAGCCCAGATCGTTAACCCCCTAAACTACTTAGGGCACTTGTAACCCACTTATAAGCCTGGTTGGGCCAGATATAACCCACCTTGGCATCCACTTGTAACCCCCTATCCACGTAGGAACCCCCACGGTCATCCCAGTACAGTCATCGGCCTAAACTAAGGAACGATAAATAAGGGACGAA